CAATTCAGCAGTTGATTTGAAGAAAGAAATTGTACAAAACAGTCTTAAGATTATTTGAAAGTCCTACAAATATTAAAGAAATACTGGAAAACTTTGAATTATTACTTCAAATATACCACTGGCTCATCTTTTACTAAACAGGAGAACCGGGTTCATAAAGAGAATAAGTTCATTTCTGTCTTTTTAAAGAAAAAGAGTAGGAGCTTATTCATGAGACTTCTTTCTTTAAACTTGGCAGTAATCTGTTCTTCAGTTATACAGCCATTTGGGAATGTTTCTAGTCTAAGAATACACTGGCTGACAAAAATGAAGAGCTAACCATTTCCTCCTTTAATGAATCCTATTCTTTCAAAAAGAAAGAAAAGAATAAGAGTCCAATAATGAAATGTGAAACCAATACTTCAGTTCTTCATCATTTTGTGACACTGAAACTAGAAGTACATTCCTGTAAGAGGGAAAAATGGCTCTTCATACATAGGACAAAGTTTCATCTCCCTCTGTCTACAAGAAGCTTACTGACAACATTCATGCACAACACAAGAAGGACCTCAGAGGTACAGGTGAGATTTCTTCTTTGTATAAATAGCAGTTCATAAATCACTTACTAATTAACCTCAACTCTCACTTATCAGTAAGGTCTTCATACACTTTTATGGGTCTGTGAAATTTGAACTCTGGTGCTGCTCTTCATTGAGCAAAGTAACCTTTGGCTATCTAGCTAAGTGACAAAAGTCAGATCAAGCTATTGAAGTTGTAACTAAATTACATTGTGTGAGAGAAGTATGTGGAATTTCAGAGAACCACAACTGTCTCCATAGCCTTTGGGTTGCCCTTTTTAAAGGATACAGAGAAACATAAGAAAAAGAACTCTGAAAGAAAAGCAAACAAATATATCTGAAAACCCAAAGCCTGGAGCATTCAATCGTTTCTGCAGAATAAGCATCCACCTGCACAACTACATACAGTGCTTCTGGCTGAAAGTATTTTAACTACCAAAATACAAGGTTCCACCTGATGTAGTGAATGCTCCTGGTTTGCAAAACAGCTTGAAAGACTCCAGTTTGATCCTCATTTAAAATGTGTCAGTGTAAATCAGCTAAACTGAACTTTTTATTTTTTTAAATAACATTCTTGAAGTTTATTATAAAAGTGATCTGAGTGTTCCACAATTGCGATAACATAAGCGTCCACATCAACTTCATCCCTTGGGAGCTGTAAAAGTTCGGTGAATGTATTATTTCTGATAGACTAATCAATGTGCAAAAAACCCCAAAACAAACAAAAAACCCCCACTGAGCTCTGCTTTGCACACTCTACGTATTTTGTTCACTATTTCTCAAAACACTAGACTACTCATTTGGCTTAATAAAGTAGCCTCATATTAGATCTCCGAATCAAACACTGCTTATTACCTTGCCAAAATCCACACACTCTGTTCAGCCCCTTCACCTGTGCTTGGAAGCTTTTGTATTTCTGGACAGAGCACACTTCTCAAGAGCCTGTTACTCCAGGCTAAGCGATAACAGTGTGACCATGAAAAACTGTGGGAAAGTCCCCCTGGCAGAACAGGGGACTGATATCCAGCATCCCAGTTTCTCAGTCAGCAATCATATTTTGAGACGATAAAATTGCGACATTTACCTTTTAAAATTATTTCTCTTGCATTTCTTTTGCTCATAATGATAGACTATAACAATAAAGCATCACAAAATTCTTAGTTTTTTGCTCCAAGTTCAAAAGAAGTTGTAATCACAAATAAAGCACACAGAGCAGATCATACGAAAATTTAAATTCAGTTTAGTTTACATTGAGCAAATCCACAAAAATTCATGATATATCTCATACTCGTGAGCACATTGGAACACATATCAAATCAGAGAGCATTGATCATTATAACATTCCTTATAACTTCTCACAATCATTTATAAATTTTATTTAACTAAATTGAAATTTGATTTCCATTGCTTTCTAATGTTGTCAATTATTCTATCTTCATATTTGCAACCCAAAGAATTAAAGCCTGTGATTTCTAGCAAGAGACTAATTTTATATCAAAATACATACAAATTAGTATTTAAAGAAAAAATACATTGCCTCTTGAAGGTATGTTGCAAATTGGTGTTTATGTGAATTCGTCAAGTTATTTTTTTCTCTTTTCTGGGAACATACAATACATTCATGAAAGTCACACAGGCACAAAGTTTGTCACTGATTTTAAAAGCCAAAAAACTTTGCTGAAGATCTTCTGTCTGTTTGAAAAGTAGAAAGGGGATGGGGCCTGGCGGAGTGGGGAAACAAGCCACATTTTACATGTAATAAAAAGAAAGTTCAGCCAATTCTTGTGCCCATTTCCAGAGCAAAGAGCAAACTAGTTCCTAACTTCTGCAGGCAGTTAATTCTGCCTCCTGATAATAGTCCAGAGATTATGTTGAAAAAGAGATGCAAGTGGTCTAGCCCAGCTGAGTTAGCTGCTGTCTTCCTTTGCTTTGCTTTGCTTTTGCGGTGGGGTTTAACCATCTGGCTGCAGATCACCTCAGGAACCAGCAAAAGGTTTTATTCCTGTAGTACATACAGGATTTGGGAATAAATGGATGACATCAAGGCACTATGAATTCAAGTGGGAAAAATTCTGAGAACAGGCACAGTACAGATAGACTGTTTTAACAGAATAGGAAAGAGTTTGTGACAAATCCCTGGAGGCACATCAGTAGGATCTCTATTGTTTCCAACTCTGGGTAAGACACAAACCAAAAAGCTCAGTGGTGTAAGCCTTTGGACTGGAAGATTTCCCAGGAAGCTAAGATTTATTTTCGCAGTGATTGAGGCTGGAAAAAACAAACCACCCAACCCAAAACACAAGAAGGATGCAATTCAAAGATCTGGTGCAGGGCTACCTACTGGATAGGTAGATAAGTGAATGACTGATTTTTTTTTTTTATTGTTATTATTTAGTTTTTCTTGCCTATATCAATATTGCTGGCAATTCTTGTTCATAATCATAAAGAGGAGGATTGTCCTTGTATCCCAGTCTGTTTAGCCTCTAACATAATTGGAGAAAGTGATTTGTAGCTGGTAGAAAGGGAAAATGATTTGGATTAGGAATAAAGGAACAGACCATTTCTCCAATAACAGCCTCATGCCTGTAGCTCAGGCGGTCTGAAGCTGCATTTGCAACATGTCTACCTAAAATAGGATATCTCCTGATTTTTGTTCATTGATGCCTTACTGAAAGATAACATTGATCCTTGGCTCCGCTAAGTATGGAACTTCCCAGAAGCATTGTAACAGCAACTGGAGTCATGGGATTTAGCTGACTGGGTATTGGTTCTTTGCCACAGTGTTAGCCATTTAAAATTTTAGTTGTGGCCAGTGTTTGGTTTTTTTTCCACAAACCCATGTGAAAAAAAATGTTGCTCCATTTTCTGCTTAGGAAAAAAAAAAATAAAAAAAAAGAGATGGAATGGTTTGTAGCTCAGGAGTCAGAGTTGCCAGAAGTTGCATTATTTCAGCATCTTTTTCACTGACCAGCTGAATAACAACAGCAGTAACTTGGTAGCTGCAGGTCAGTCAGTGTGCTCTAGGGGTCCCAACAGGTGACAAGACTGAGAATCTTGATGACATGCTTGTGTATATAGGGGCTGAAGCTGGATTCCTGACAAGGAGACCCCTCTCTTTGTCAAAAGTAAGCCTTATCTCCTTCATTTTCCCCATGTCTTTTTTACAAAAATAAGAGAAAATAAGAAGGACTTCTCTCCAATGACAGTAGTGGCACAGTGACAACAGGTAGCAACCCTCTTACAACTAGAGTAGCTCCTGAAGTGTAACAACAGGCACACTACAGCCAATCTGCTCCGGGGCAAAGTGGTGCTTTCTTTTACACGCCCAACAGAGCACAGTACTGCTGAGAGAATAGCACATGAACATCTTACACTTGTCATTTTGTAGAGAATGGTTGAGCCAATACTACAAGAAGCACACTGAGAAACAGAATCTCAAAAGCTGTGAGACCTCAGTTTCCGTTGGCTGTACATGGAGACGGCCATAACTCCCATGCTGTTAAAACAACCATTTGGTGTCTAAAGTTAGATAAAATATTTCCTGACACCATCTGTGGTTAAGCAGGAGACACCTATGGAACTTCACGGATGTGCCACTTGACAAATATCTTGCTAGAGAAGACAAAGAAAAGAACTACACAGCAGCAGGTGAGTATCTCTCAAAAAAGGCACTTATGTTGTCCCAATTTGCAAGTCTTTGATGAACGGAATCCTTTCATATGCACAAAGTTTTGTGTTTGTCTTTAAAAGCTGTGTCCAAAAGGAACACCTGAAATTAAGCTTTTTCCAGAGAAGGAAGTACCTCTAAGACTTCTTTAGTATTAAATGCCATTGAACAATATCTAACACATGAAAACATATAAGTATACGTAAATAAAGTTTTGAAAAATCTTATTTTTTAAGAATTTGTCTATGCCACTTCTTACGCAGGCTTGAGTCAGGCTCATTGATGTTACTTTGAGGAACACTTATGACAACAATGATGAGCACGTGAGAGAACAGATTGTAAACTATCAACAGTGTGAAGAATATGCCTCTGTGGACAGAGCCTGAAAATCTGATATGAAAGATACGATATGCAAGATAACACAGAAATGTGAAGCTTTCAGGGCACTGATATATCTAAAACAATTATAAGTATTGACATAATCATTACATTCTGCATTTAACATTACATTATGCATACTTGAATATCTAAGAGTTTTACTTCAGTGAAAGAAATAATATAAAATTATTTCCTCCTTCATTCCAAGCAGCCACTGATCAAGCTCCTCCTGTTTGCTAATCAACACAGATACATTATCTGATGTTGAACAGTTCTTTTTAAGGGTACCATACGTGTCAATTTACCTTAATTTCTGAAATTCTAACATGGTTAGAATTGCTACAAGCAGTTAGCCTTACAAGGGCCACAGTACTTGGAGAAACATGACAAAATCTTACCGCTACATTTCCATTGCACCTTTGGGACTGGCAAACACCTCTTATTCTGTTGGGAACCAGTACATCATCCCAGCAAGACGGACCCTTCAAAAGAAAACCAAAGCATATAAAGGTTTTAATATAATTCGTAAATAAACATCAAAAATTTGGGTTTTGTTGCCTCTCCTCCTACTCTCATTTCTTTCAGATTTTAGCTAGACAGTTTTATCACGTTTACGCTGAAAAATTCCAATCAGATTATACATCACCATTCAGCAGTAAAGCTCAGTCACTGACAGGACATACAGCCTCTCCATCCTGAGGTCAGCAGTGTGAACAGCAGTCAAACAATAGTTTTCTCAGCCTAAGACTGGGACTGACTTAAATTATGACTAAAAAGCTACAAAGATGCATCTTCTGGTTCAACACACTTTACACCTTTGCCGGCAGCTGACTAAAGGGAAAAAAGGAAAAAAACCTAAGAGTTGGAAGTAGAATACACAGTTAGGAAGACTGATGTGTAACACAAAGATTAGGTTAAGTAGCTTTTCTGTGTTTTGTCATTTAAGTATTAAATGGCTTTACTGAAATCTGTTTCTGTTTTCACGGGCTGCTAGTGTGAATTTTAATGTTTGCTGTAAACAAATTGAACAACTTCGTAGAATCATAGATTGGTCTGTGTTGGAAGGGACCTTAAAGATCATCTAGTTCCAACCCCCCTGCCATAAACAGGGACACCTTCCACCAGATGAGGTTGCTCAAAGCCTCATCTAACTTGGCTTTGAACATTTCCAGGGAGGGGGCATCCACAACTTCTCTAGGCAACCTGTTCCAGTGTCTGACCACCCTCACAGGAAAGAATTTCTTCCTAATATCTAATCTAAACCTACCCTCTTTCAGCTTAAAGCCATTACCCCTTGTTCTATCTCTACCTGCCCTTGTAAAAAGTCCCTCCACAGCCTTCGTGTAGGCCCCTTCAGGTTCTGGAAAGTTGCTGCAAGATAAAGCCTATGCCTAATTATAATATAATTAAAATATGAAGTGAGGCATGTTAGTACATTCCTTGACATTTACATTAGCTTAAAGATTTGACAGTCCTTGTTAACAAAAAAAACCAAACAAAACACAACAGAAAAAATAAACCAAAACAAACCTAAAAAGAAACTTGGAAAGAAAATTCACAGAAAATCCTTTGCAAACTTTGCTATGACTTTATTTAATATTAACAGTTTATTCACGAGTATACTATAAAAGGCAGAGTAAATTTAAAAATTACAAACCAGCATTATTAATATTTCACAACTGCAAAATAGTGTGGTTAACAGGATGATCCGAAGAAGAATATTTTTATATATGGCATATATAGGAATATTTAGACAAATATTTTGCAGCACAAAAATTTTAAATTATGTTAGTGCAAGTCTTCTCTTTTAATATTCATCTTACACCACTTAATATTTAATTTGTGAACAATAAAAAATTATTCTGAGAAATAGATACGAAGCTTACAGATATACAGAGGTAAACAACTAAGAAAGTATAAATAACTAAAATATTTTCAGTTTTGTCATAACTCAGTGTTTGGGATAGCATCACTAAGCAGGAGTAACAGGAAAACTTTACCCAGAAGAGAAATCATGGCAGTCAAGTTTTAATGGCATTAGTGAAATTAGTGCCTACTTAAATCACAGTTGGATTACAGAGTAATCCAGTACCACACCTAGACCCATCTTAATTTTACTTCTTTATGGGGCACTTCAACATAGTGCAGACACATCTGAGATAGTTTTAAATTAGCTAACTTAGTAGTAGGAACTTAGCTATGAATGGTTGATCCAGTCTATCTGAAAATTTGAGTTAGTCTGCAGTGAGCTCTGCTCTCTACTGTCACAGCTGAAGTGCTGACATTTGAGATAGGTGAAAAAGAGCTTGAACATGTGTAAGTTGCACTGCAGTCAGACACAGGGGTAGCTACCAGTAGATTCCACTCTTTGGGAGAAAACAGCTGCAGCATATTGTAAGTGTAGTTAGTACAAAGTAATAATATTTCTCTTCAAATTGTTAAAAAAAATTCCCACCTTGAATTTATTATTTAAAACATTTTTTAAAAGTTTGCCATCAATTATTCCAGTGAATTTTGACCTCTTGGAAAGCTTTAGCATTCTTGAGATTTTGCAGGAAGAACAGCAGAGCCTCCTTCAGGTGTTGTATAAAGAACTACCTTCTTTTAATTGTTTTCAGCTCAGTGGTTGAAAGTTTCTTTTGATGCTCCCCCATTTATTTATTTTTCCCCATGTCACCAAAGATTGTGCAGATCTCTAGCACACCTCCCACAGTAGTTTACTTTCCAGGAAGAAAGGTAATCTACCTTGCCATTCCTGAGATGGATGCTGTTTTTTAAACTTTGATCAACTTTTTACTCTCTTGGTAGCTGTTCCAATTCTACTCTGTCTTTTTAGAATATGAGAAAGAACACACAGTATACAAAACCTACTTATGTGCTGGACTACTGAATGGGAAGATGGTGTCTTGGAATTTGTTCTTTATTTCTTTCCTAAATAATTATTAAAATGTTACCTACTTTGCTGATGGTTACTAAGCACTGAGGCAGCATATCGGTGGGATTATCTCTCACAGCTCCTAGATCTCATTCCTGAATGCAGGAGTTATCTCAATCCATCATGTATATATCGCTGATGGTTACTAAGCACTGAGGCAGCATATTGGTGGGATTATCTCTCACAGCTCCTAGATATCATTCCTGAATGCAAGAGTTATCTCAATCCATCATGTATATATAAAATATGGGTTTATTTTCTCAGTGTACATCACTTAGTATTAACACACATTGAACTTTATCTGCCATTTCACAAGCAGAATTCCACAGAAGGACTTCCAATAGGTACTCTCCAGGTCCCTCCATACTGAATCTGATCCTCTTCAAGTGTTTCTTTTATACAGCGATAATCTAGTGGACTTGTACACGTTCTGCTCCTGTTATACTTCAGTATAACAAAACAGTTTTTCCACTGTTTGCAAGTTATAACTTTTTGCTTGCCTAATTGCATTTTTATATTTAAGGTGCTGGAATTATGTTTTTGTTTCAAGAGGCTTTTTGTTTTTATTTATCTCATTACTCATTTTATTAATTTTTCTGAAAGATGCATCCTTCATTCTAATACCCCCCCCCCCCCCTTTTTTTTTTTCCACCTACACAATTTAGGCATGCTAGCTTCTGTTCAGTCCTCCTTAAGTTTCTGTACATGCAACCTTTGATTCTGGTAAAATTTCCATGTCTCCAAAGATTTAACTCTTTTTAGCTGCCTCTTCTAGCTTCTTCTCAACAAGCACCCTTCCTTTGATGTAGCTTCTCTTTTTCAAAATTCAGCACAATACTTTTGTCTTTCTCAGATTTTGGGAAGTTGCTGAACGTAAGTGTATTACAGCCATTGTTAAAGAACAGGTCTTTGTTAGTAACATTATTAAATAGGTCCTCTGCATTATTCTTTCTTGCAGGTTCTTTGATCAACTTTTCCGTAACACAACCTGACAGCATCTAAAAGTTTACTCGTGGGAATACAGTTTGACACAATACTTACCTAATTTACATGAAAGTAATTTAAATATCCCATTATCATAATTTTTCCTACACTTTCAAGCTTTTGATTTTCCCTAGCATGTTAGACTCACTATCATCATCTGGTCAAGTGGCTGCTAATGCGAGTCTTATATTTTTTTCCCTTTTCATGTCTAGAATTTCACTCCATAAGGATATTGTGTAGCCTACTGATCTGTTAAAAACAAATAAGACTAACAAGGTAACATTCCCTTACCATCTGTCCCTCTTCTTTCATATTCAAATTTGCTAGTATACATTCATTAGAACACTTATTTTTCCAATTTAGAGGAATTCAGTAGGTTTGTATATCTTCGGATAATCCTTATAATTTACATTCAGGAAGAGGATACTAGAAAGAAAGGATGAGAAATAAGGAGCAAGTGTGATTTATAAAATTCAGTGTGGGGAGTGACGGGGACAGAGGGGAACCATTCGTTAAAAAAATTAAAAAAAAAAATCCGAAAACCCCCAAACACACCCAACAAAACCCACCCAAATTCCCAACACAATTACTTTTTTCCTGGTCCTGATAATAACATGAACAGTAAATCTTCATGTTACTTCAGTCTTGCATGATTAATATGAGAATCTCAAAGTTAATCATGCTATGCCACTATACACACAAAAATACTCACAAGATTGCTACACAATAAGATAATTTAAAACTGTCTTGTAGAAGTAGTTCCACAGGTATATGTTATCAACTCTGGTACTAATTATCTTGATTTCATAAGAAGAAAATATTTCAAGATAAACTTTTTAGATGAACTAATCTTTAAACTTCAACAAAGATATTTCAGGAGAAAACTTTGCAAGTATTCAGTAGTTTGCAGGTCTCAGTGTCTAATCACAAAACATCTGAGAAGGCAAGAATGAAAACACACTTAGGACCATTCCTAAGGCTGAGTGAAATTCTAGAAAAATGCGTATTTAAAATGTGTCACTATGTTGATTATGTCACAGTCTTATAGTAGTTGAGAAACAAGGAGCTGATTTGCAAAATATAATCAAGAAAGCATCCTTAAAGAAATCAGAACAGAAACGGATTGATGCAATATTCTCTACTCTTAGAATTCAACTACTACAACTAGCACTGGATCAGATCCAAATATGCTTAATATGGCAATACCTTTTCTTTATTAATAGTAACAACAATAGTATGAATTTTTTAGCCACCTTTTAAGGTCTTATCTATGAGGGAAAGCTAGTGCAAACTTACAGTGCTCTCACTCTCTGCATTAACTTCCTCATGACATTTCTCATACATGAGAATACTTTTCACATGAAGCAGCTCTCTGTTTCAAGTAAGAGTATGTCACCTTCCACTTAAGGCATGCTAAAAGCACATACACAGGGAACTAGTAGCACAATCCTACACTATCAGTGACTACTCAGCTGTTTACTCACACTGTAGCTAATGAAGGAAAAAATAGTAAGTTTTTAAAACCCACTCCATCCAACACTTCTTTACATTAACTCTTATGAT